GAGTTCAGGATTTTTGTTATCTTCTCCCACCTCCCTCCCTCTGCCACACCATCATATTCTGTGCCACCAAAATAATCTCAAAAATTACAGCACATGAAACTTGGTTAAACAATTTCAGAAGAAAAAAGAAAGAGAGATGGCAATTTGTCTATCAGATGCAAAATCCTTCCTCCCTTCCATCCAATCCTCTTTTACCTCTTCATCTCCACCATTTCCAGCCCACACGCAGAAGCTCAAATCCTGGAGAAAGCTCAGACTCTGCAAAGCTGTAAATGAGACACTTTTTTCGCATTCAAATCTCGTCTCTAGGAGAAGAAGCGCATCCCTTTGTCTCACCGCGCACTTTGCTACTCTCTTTGAGTGGCGCCGGCGGCCGTGGAAGCTTTGATGCAAATGCCGCAATTCTTGAGGCTGAAGATGACCAGGAGTTGTTGCAGAAAGTGATAATGGATAAGAAGAAAAGGGTTGAGAGACAAGGGCTAATAAGTTCCTCTGGTAAAGAGACAGGTGAGAATTGTTTCTTCTGAAAGGATTGATAATGGCAATAAAATGATTAATAGTTCAAATGAAGATTTCTGTGGTTGATGGCTGTTCTTGTTTCAGTTTCATTGTTTATTCTTGATGATGATTATTTAGCTGGATAAACAACATAGCTAATGTTTCTCTAACTTTCCCATATAAATTTCCTGACAAATATCATGAAAAAAATCAAAGTGGAAAGCAGATTTTTGTGTGTGTAGAATATAGAAGTTAATAGAAATCGTCTACCTTTTGACAGTTATTATGGAGTTGAGTGTTTAAGAGAATGAACAGTCACAAATGATTTGGGAATTGGGCAGCCTTTATTTCTTAGTTGAGCAAAAGTTATTAAATTGGATATATCTCATCTTAATAGGATCTTCAAAAGATAGGATTGGATGTAAGGGATTTCACAAAATCTTTGAGTACACTTTCCATACATTGGCAAAAAATTGGTTAAGGATTAGGATATTGCAGTACTCAGTGTTAATTAGTAAGAAAATGATCTTTATTTTCAGTTTTCACATTTTTTATATTTTCCGTCTGGGTACTTTGCTGTATGGGGAAATTTGCAGCTGCAAATTCCTAATTGATTGATTTTGGTGAATATATATTATTCGAATTCGAATTCTACAGAATTCTTCTGAAGCGGTGTTTTCAAATATTATTAAGCTAATTTTATTGTGTTGTTTATTAATAACCTTTGTCATTCTTACTGTTGGTAACTTGGTATATTTAACCCAAGGAGCTGAATGTAGCACTACAAACTTTAGTCATATATGTTATTATGTTTGTTATACACACTGACTCAATATGAATAAGAAACCAATATGCAAGATATTTGGCTTGTTTGATCTTTTTGGATGAACCTTATGTCTTAATTGGTATTAGAGTTAAATTAATCAGTCGTCATACTTGTGGCACGGTCCAGATAAGCTATCAGGCCATGAGACAAAAAACCCCAAGAGTTAGTAGCTTGTCAGTCTATTTCAGCAAAATATGGCTCCAAAGTTTATCTAATATTGCTAACCCTTTTCACAGCATACCTACAAGACCTTGTCTTCAAACTGAGCAAAGTTGGCCAAGCCATCGACAAAAACGAACTCCCTTCTGCAAGTGGTGTTCTTGGTCAAAACATAAAAACTGACTGGGTTCAAAATGTTAACTCAGCATTTAACAAGGTACCTTGATCAGTCATTACTCTTGTTCATAGCATTTACTTCAATTTCTGTGGTGCACATATATATCTCTTGAATTTTTATTTCTTTTCTCCAACAGTTTAGCACAAGCCCTGAGGAAAAGGCTGAGGTAGATAAATTCAATTCATCTTTGGCCCGTCTAATTTCATCAGGTATGATTTATTCTTAAAGACACTTTGATTGAGTTTAAAACGCTGTGGTTACATAACCGGAGTGTTTTGTTTGAGTGTTTACATAGTTCTTTGAATAAGTGTGTGGTTCTTTTTAATGTGTTTTTTATATAAAGGGTTTACAAAAGGGGAAAATATAGGTCGTTAAAATTCATTCTGTTCCATAATTAACAAAACACAATCAGTTATATAAAGCTTTGTAGCTTCATGGGTTTTTTCTTCTTGATTTTTATTGAACATTCTGTAAAGCCCTTAAGGTTTTAGAACCAAGTATGTACTAGGAGGTAAGAAGTTACCATGTGTCCTTTGACCGAATTGCTATTGCATTTTGAGGGGTAAGAAGTTTTGAATAGAAATTCTGATGCCTACCGCAAAGCTAAGTAGACAAGCAACTGTCAGCCCTCCAACAGATAGGCATCATTTCCAGATTGACCTTCACTTCTCTATTTACTATCCCCTCACTTTCTCTTCCCTCCAATAGATATTTTTGGTTTTAGCCAGTAAAACTATCCTTTTACAGATATATCTTGCTAGCCGAGGATGTTCCATGACCCTTTGCCACTGAATGAGATAATCTCTAAGGAGTATATCAAATAAACGATTCATAATGTGGAGGAGAACAGAAGATAGACTAGAACTCAATAAATTTGTTTGAATAATTGTTGACACTTACGTGAATGTCTTTTTAATAAATCTAAGCATATGGAATAATAAAAGCATACGAAGAAAGCAACTTTCTACAACACTATGTTTCATTTTGCATAGAATCTTTCAAGATCCAAACGAACTATAAAGATTTGGTGTTCTCTTCTAAAACGTTAACCAAATAGCTGGATTAGCTCAATGCCTCAAATGTTGGTTTGTGTCTCCATATTTTGTTGGTGCAAGATGAATTGACATGTCTCAACAAGATGGCTGTTCATGGAGGAGACCAATATTGAAGTCTGTGTTCTCAGTTTTAGGCTTAACATTTTCTAATTGCTCATTAGAGCTTAATTGGCTATGACACTGTATTAATCCTGAACAAGGTCGTAGATATTGTTTGTGCTTTGGGCATGACTTAACTAAAGGTCCCCTCAGAGCATGGACTTAGATAGGAGGCCATACTAGGTCCTGGACTTTAGGGCCCATCCTAATTTTTAAAAAACTTTAAAAATTTATCTCAAAAATTCCGTGTAGCAGGCCAACCCAAATAACCTGGCTACGCCGCTGCCTTAGACAGCTTCTACTGATTGGTCTCGAAATCCATGATCTTACACACGATTTCGGGGTCACACAAACACATATGTGTATCTATCTCATACTCCCTTTATAAAAACGCCTTTTCCCTAATGGCAAGCATAACGAACTAATTAAGTTTTAGTAAATGCTTTGGTATGGTGATTTATGCAGTTGCAAAGAAAGATGTTGAAGCATCAAGAACAGCCTTTTTAGCATCAGCAACTGCGTTTGAGAAGTGGACAACCTTAACAGGTCTGGCTGGAGAGCTTAAAGGACTCTAAAGGAGGGGAAAATGATTTTACTACTACAAAAATCTCTTTTATTGTCCTTTAATGATTACAAAATAGTTTGTAAGCAAAAATATAACTGATGATAAGATTATTGTTTATCACGGCATAGTTGATCACTGTAATAGTATAATGTGTCGTGGTGTACCTCAATGGCTGAATGTCTTATTCTTAATCAAGAATATGTAGTAAATATTCATTGTTTTTTACCAATGTATACATGATACATCATATTGCGTTTCCTTTCCTTTTAGCTTATGATACAGCAAAAATCTGAAAAGTGGACTAATTTTATACGGTATATTTTTTTGACAATTCTTTCTGACATATTGTAATACATGTTCTATGTTAAGGCCAACATTAGTACATGAGTACTCCAAATACATATATCACACATTGTCAATCTACTTTATCGTAATTCAAATATACATATACATTAAAAGTTTGGTACATGAGTGATGAGTCGATCGTGCGGTTATTAAGAAAAATAAGTTTGTATGATTTGTGTTTAATTTATAAAATAAAAATAAAGTGCAAAAAAATTACATTCACATAAACATTATAAAATCTGGAATGAGACATCTTCTTGAGATAGCTCAAAGTGAAAAAAATGAGAAATCTTAGCGGAATGAAGGAAGTAATTGTTCGAAGCTTGGTGTTTGACTGTTTTTACTTCACTTGTTTACGCAGAAATGTTTGATTAAATCGTCTAGTTGTTTGAGTGTACAAAAAGGGTTGTAAACGTTTTTTGAAAAGCTTCCAAGCGTCATTTGATAATAGCTCGTTTCCGTTGTTGATCATGGTAAAACAGCTGATTTGAAATGGGGAAAATGTCCACTCCACAAAACATAGGTCATTAATCAAATTTAGAGCTCTGTTAGCAATTCTATTTTTTTTTTGTTCAATTTCATGCATTCCAGAGTTGTATTCATAACTCAAGAAGTTGTGTACCACTATTATTATTTCGGCATGTTAAATAAATAAAAAAATAAATAAATTATTATTATTAGTACACCAATGGATGTAAGATTTGGCATTTTATGTAAGGAAAAAATAATAAAAATACCCCAAACTTTGAACGGGTGTGAGATAAATACTCCAAACTTTATATAAAAAATTATTTTCTCACTATTATCATGAATTATTTCTTTGAAAAATGTAAGTTTTTGGGGTTAGTTTCATAATTTAATTAAAATAGAAAATTAAAAGTGTTGCAATTATATAGATTTGGGGTTACATTATTTATTTCGCAATGGAAATTTAGAATGTTAATTGTGTCTTCATTAATTCTAAAATATATTAAATTATGCAATTAACACCATAATATTACATTTTAAAAAGAAATAATACTTGACTATATATGACGCTAAAATAACTTTTTATATAAATTTTGGGGTATTTAAATTAAACATGCAAGTTTGGGGTGTTCACCTCACACCCCTTCAAAATTTGGGGTATTTTATCTATTTTCCCCTTTATTTAAATTGTTGATCATTTTAAAAATTTTCATACATTTAAAATATTAAATTTTCATAAATTAACCATGTTTTATTAAAAAAAACATTATATATTTATTTTCATAGTTAACAACTCAAACAATATAGTTTAGTAATTCCAACCAACAGCACCTTCAAATATTTCAATCAAATACATGGTTACCAATCATTCTCGTATTATCCTATAAAAATGACCAATTCAATACATATGCTATTCGTACTTCAAAATAAATGGATTGAGTTCAGCTATAACTAGTAACGTGAATGGGCAAATTTACAACTACTGGAGACATTTCTAAAAAAAGGACATACAGAAGAATGCACTTAATGGTTGCACTATCGTACAAGAATTATTGACCATATAAAGAAATGAAAAGCAAGACAACTAATATATCAGGTTAACTGAAGAAAGGAAAAAAATGAAATTCTAACAAACAGCTTTACCTACAGTACTAAAACACAACCTCCTCTTCCCATCTGCCTGCCCAAAGTTGAACTTGATATCTTGTGCATCTGCAGGGACAGAAGCATCCGTAGATGGGAAAGAGAAAACAAGTCTCTGCGAGGATTTTTCTGTGCCAAAGCTGTAACAAGGAATGTCACCGGACAGCTCATCCAGCCGTGGCACAATCTTTGCAGCTGATGATGGCATCGAGGGGGTCGGCGGCGGTTCAGAGAGTGCACCGTTTGAGGCAGGAACGGGAAAGGTGAATCCAGTGGGTGTATTATCGGAAAAAATGCTGTGTCTATGGTCTGGCTTGCTTATACTGATGGCCTGCAAAGTGGGTTTTGTTCCTGAAGTATGTGCTGGCAATTTATTCTCTGGCTTGGTGGAGACATTCTGGCCATTACTCTGTTGTTGAGAAGACCAATTTTGTGTGGTCCCTCTTGGCACAATGTTAGTTCCTAGTGAATTCTGTAAAGAGAAAAGAACCAGTGTTTACAGAAAATATTGCTTTACCGTTCTCCTTGAAAAAAGCCCCAAGTTACTGAGGCTAAAAGGTGGATTGGTTGAGTGTGTTTATTCAGCATTCGGGGTAAAATTTATGATATATACCATGGAAAAGCTACTTACCCCATTCAGTACGTCCAGATGAAAATATTTAAATTCACTGAATCCCTTTAAGACCATTACTTCTCGTGCGTACAGATTGCATGCACAAGGCATATGATGGTATTACACTATTACTCCCTCCGGTCTTCTTGATATGAACACTTTATCTAAGTCAAATTAATGTAAAAGGTCTGAGGAAAATTTAATCACTCGCAACTAATATTACCTTAACAAATTACTTATTTTTTTTAGCTTTACCACACATTAGCTATCATGTGTTCTTGTTCTAAACTATATTTTCATGTTTTTCAATCATTTTATGTGGTTGGTATTTAAAGTTGAAGGGTTAAACAGGAAGTATAATTAATGCTACATAAATTTAATATCTTATATGCTCAAATCAAGATGACCACTAGACATCTTGAATAAACATTAATGAGAGAGAGTATATAGCAACTATTGATAAATGTGATAAATTGATGGTTCTGATGGATTTTGAATGTGATCAATAGATTTAAAAAGAGCAATGGATGGATCACTAAACATTCATGGCATCCAAATGGGTGGATTGGATCTATCCACCATTCCATTTTCATTCACTTTTATAATAATTATGAAAATACAGGAAAACAACTGAGTACCTGGTACGAACTCGGATCACTAGTAGGAGGAGAGAAAATATTAGTTTGTGATTCAGCCTTTGAGAACAACGAAGGCCCCCCATTGGAATTAGATACACATAAACTATTTCCAAAGGAATTCCTCTGGAGGATCCCTTTCTCGCTATTTTTGTCCTTCAAAGAGTTTTTTGTCACTGACTCGGTCGTGTTTAGGACTTGAGAATGTGAAAGTTCGGAACTCTCATTTGACCTTGCATAAGAAGTAGCCAGATTCAGTTCATATGCCTTCTCTTTAGGCGTTGGCTTGTGCCTGTTAATGTGCTCTAGTATTATTCTACATGCCTCATTTGGCCCAGCCTTTGAAGTATCATCACGTTGGTGGCTGGCTTCCTTATTCTTTCCCTGAGAAGGTACGAATGTTTTAGGAACAAGTGATCTTTCAATTTCTGAAGCAGCTTTAGAAGGATTCAAGAAAATAGATTTCCTGGACTGGGAATCTGAACCTAGCTTATTGCGTGATCTCCTGATTGGTCCAACTGATCCATAACTGTGGTCAAACATGTCAGACTTTGTCCTTTCCTGAAATTTCGACAATAAAAAGTGAAAAATTTAGAGTCAATTCCCTAAATAGGACTAAAAAGTGGCAAAATTGCACAAATAGGACTACATTTTTTAAATTCCCTTAATAGGACTATTTATGTGTGTTTGGACAAATATACCCTTGTAACTTGTAAAATGTTTTAATTAATAATAAAATCATAAAAAATTTATAAAAATCGAAAAAAATACTAAAAATCGTAAAAAAAATAAAAGAAAATTAATAAAAAATATTTTTAAAAAAAATAAAAAAAAATTATTTTTTTAAAAAAAATAAAAATAATAAAAAAAATCATAAAAAAAAAAAAAAAAACATTACCACCCCTGCCACCCCCAAGTCCCCCCAACACCACCAACTCCCATCACCGGAGAAAAATATGCCAACATTTTAAATAATGCCATAATGATGGCATATTCAATGAAAATGTTGTCATATTGAAGAGTAATTATGCCATCTTTTTGGCATTTTCAGAAAAATATGGCATTTTTTTACCAAAAGTGGAAGAAATTTCACCAATCGGAGGTGGTGGTGGTGGGAGCCGGCGGGAGGCGGTGGGAAAGGTATCCATATTTTTTTTCATTTTTTATGGGTTTTTACTATTTTTTATTATTTTTTTTTTAAATTAAAAAAATAAAAAATTAATTTTTTTATTTTATAAATGTTTTATAAATTTTTTATAATTTTTTTACGTTTTTAAAATATTTTTTACGTTTTTTATGATTTTATTATGAATTAAAGCATTTCATTATGAATTAATACTCTTAGGGGTATTTAGGGTAGAAAATCAATGTTTAGTCCTATTTAGGGAATTTTAAAAGTAATAGTCCTATTTGTGCTTTTTAGGAACTCATTAGTTCTATTTAGAACAATTTCCGAAAAATTTAACAGATAGACAAGTACATTAACCTAAAAAAGAAACGTTAGGCAGGAAAGTGTAAAAAGATGCTTTTGTCAGTAAAAAGCACTTTTAGTGCTTATTAAAAGAGCAAAAAATTGATGCTACCTAAAAACAAAAAAATCTCTTTGTACCCACCCCCTATTTTGCATGTGTACACAGACAATTCGTTAAGATGAAGACAACATTTATCTCCCAATTGCCTGTGTACACAGGCAAATGTACAAATGTGTGTACAAAAGTGGGTACAACAAGAAGGACTCATCTAAAAACAGAGTAAAACTTGAAGTGCTTAAATAAAATAAAAAAATTAAGCTCTATATTATCCAAAACAAGCTGTCATTTTCCAATAGAGCTTTGGAGAGAAAGAGTTTTTGGAATATCTGAGTAAAAAAAATGGAATATGTGATTTAACATTAAGAAAATACTTTAGATGTCATTTAAGAAAGTAGCACATTCTTTTTTTCCAGATAAAACACTTAAAGAAGTTAAAAGAGAAGGCACTTATGAGAAATGGCACTTATACCATGGGTTATCCCAAGCAGACTCTTATTGTTGCATACGGCACAATGTTAGATGATATAACTACGACGGCCGGGAGAAGATTACCTGCCCACGAGTTGACATGGGAGATTGTTGAGAAGACTTTACAGAAAGGTCAAGGCACCTGCTATTGGTTCTAGATTTTGATAGTAAAGTTCTAGAATATGGAGTCCTAGGAAAGTCATGGAGGCCATATCTGCTTCTCTGATTCTGTGGTGTAGTAAGGTCCTGATGATGGTCTGACACCATGGTGGGCCAACATGGGGAAGGTTTAGGTAAAGGTGGTGGAAGAAATGATGGATATGCATTTTCTGGGTCTCGTTCACCCTTTGTAAGAAAACTACGATGGCTAGGGCTTTGATCTGACATTCGGCTTCCCATAAATGCTCTTGCAACATCAATGGGTGATGCACCAATTTCATCTTGCACCTGAAAAATTAGTATATTCAAAAGGTATCCAGTATGCAGAACAATGCAATTGATGATGTCCATTATAAACAAGAAAACTATGCATGCAATAATTCTTTTTATTTCTTGAGGTGACCTATTGATATATTCAACTGAAAATATCTTTATTCTAAAATCTAAACCTGTACCGCCTGCAAGAAGCTCAATTTGGCCACTTAGGGTGTGTTTGGAACCCCGAAAATGCAAATCAAGAAAATAGAAGACAGGTTTGGACGGAAATAAAATTTGGGATAAAATAAGAAAGTGGTTCAAACTTCTAACTGAATAAATCAATTTCAAATATTTTCTCAAGGATATTTATCCCTATATATATATGAAAAATATAAATATGCAAAAGCAGTGAAACTATACAAGTTCTCATCACAAATATGCAAACATATGTTTCTCACAATTTTTCCTCTCCATCTCCGACAATTTTGTGTTCTAAACGCGCTATGCCCAGCCCAGATGTCGCTTAGGCTCTATGCCCAGTTCTACAGTACACCATCAACTTCAAGTCAAAACCATTCAAAATTTAAAGTTCAGAAACTCAGAAAGTATAGTTAATGGTGGTAGCAATTGACTCACATTTGTTCGAGGCAGAGGTGTCAATGGTCCAAATTGAGCTCTGTTCACAACTTCCTGTCTTCTTTCAGTTGATTTTTTTGGTGTGTCACGCAACAAAAGAATGTCCCTTCCTGATATCGTCATGCTTGGTTCGCCCTCTTCTAGATCTTCAGTAGCCTTCGATTTCAAAAGTTCAGTCAAACGGACTATTTCTTCCCTGCATAGAAATGAAGATTAGTTTAGTAATAAAGTATAATAAAGCATAAGTGGTTGAAAAAGTATAATAAAGTGAAATGTTGTAGACCACAATTTCTTTCCAAAAAAGGAAATGCGACACTTATTCTGGGACACCCAAAAAGGAAAGTAAGACAGATAAAAAGGGACGGATGGAGTACTATTTAATCATAATAACTTGACCGGATAAAAAAAATCACATTAGCATACCAAATGTAAGAAGGGAAACATGTAACACACTCGCACACCCACACACAGAGTACAAATATAGTCCTACAACTTGAAAGTTAAATTTAAACAAAAACAATTTTCAAACACGGAGTATGATTTTACTCAACTAAAGTTGATAAAGTTACCCCATTCTCAATGACAACACCAAACATCGTTTTATCGAAATGCATTGTTTTTACTAATCTTAATTGGAAAGAAAAAGAAAAGAATTGGAGCACTCAACTTCAAAAGTTCACCTATAATGAAGAACTTAAGTATCTGCTGTACTACAAATAAATTACTACGGTACTAAACTATAGAGGTAAATATCATATGAACATAAAACTAAATCTACAACAAATATCAATCAAGAGCTAAATTTCTAAAAACAGAAAGCATGGACATCAATAATAGAGGTATGATGGTACCTAGAAAATGATTTCCCTTTCAATAGCTGCTCAATTCTGGAAATCTTGGAATCATCAGGAGAGCTCTTCAGCATATCTTGCCCCAGCTTTCCATCTTCACGCATTTCTTTCTCTTGCTCTGAAACTTCATTGGCATCCATTCTTTCAGTAGATTTGATTGCAGACTGCATAGACATAAATTCATAACACTTTGAGGAGATTCTTTCTCCTAGAGAAGCCATCACAAGAACATCAAATAGGAGAAGTGAAATAATGCAATATCTTAGCATCTTTTCCTGCTTAATGTTTATAGTCAATTATTTAACAAGTGAATATACTAATCCAAACACTACCAGGAAAAAAAGATTTATAGCAGCATGGAATCAGATATCAGTTAAACAATTAATTTGATTGTCCACTTTAGAAGTTGGGTTTCACATTTTGATTTCAAGAACCTCCCAAATATAAAAAAATTTGCAGCACAATATCTATATCTGCAGTTTACTTCTCCTAAAGAAATATAATGATATCTCATAAAATTGAGAAAACAATAATCATTCCGTAATTCCATAGTTATTCATTGCAGGTGTATAATTGACAATCTAACATGTTCTACGTACTCATTTGTCAATGTTAGACATTCCCCATTGATTCATTCCTAATAACTTACACCCACATTCCTTTTTTGGAATAAACTTTTGCTTCGTATTACACAGACATACTTAATGTAATCAATAACCACTGCACATTCATGAGGTAAGAATATATACACACATGCTGGTTGAGTTCCATAATACATATTTCTTGTCTTCTTGATTACAATATGTGCTCTCAAGGCAAACAAAAAGTTTGTTATTGAGAACCTTCAAACCAACAACTAGAAATGTACTGCAGGCTTCTTTTGTTGGGTTGGGAGAGAAGTAAAAACATTGGTAGTCGATTCATGAAACCTAACCCACCACAGAAAATGACAAAAACTTACACTAGAACTGCACTTCTCTTCATCCTTTGCACTCGGTATAAACTCCTCATTTTCTGTATCTGAAAAAAATAGCATGCTAAGTTCAACCAGAGGAAAATATGGCAGTCATGAGTCATAACATATACATATAACTAATCGCTTTGTATGTAGAAATAAAAGTGCAATGTTCATGTGCAGCCCACCATCCATAAACAGAATGAACCGTTCAAAACACGTAATTTTTATTCTCCCTTTGTATAATGGTAAAAAAAAAACCTATATGTTAGTGTTAGGACCATGAACAAAAAAGTTTTTAAATCTGATTGATTTTTATCAAATGTTACCTAACCTTTCAACAATTCGTCTTGCAAATTCATATAACAAAAGAGATGTTACAGTTTTTTGAATTGGATATGGTACTCACTCTATATGCAACACCCAAAATATAGAAAATAGCACATACTAAGAATAAGAAGGAAGGAAAAAACAGATCTTTAAATAAAAAATGAAATAAACATAGTTTAACCATTCTACAATGTGCTACAGACTCAAGCATCTAGATTGTTTTAAGTAACGCATGCCCTAATAAGCTTTTTTTATACATCAGAAAGGAGCATGCCCTAATAAGATGCAAAAGGGGAAATTAACATAAAATCTTCAGCTTTTGAGCTTCTAATTAACTAAAAAATCACGAACGCCTGAAATCATGTGAAGTTAAATGTTGAGATTATAAATTTTAAAAACCCTATCAGATCCCAATGCAAAACTCGTATAGAAGACTCAATTTTCGTGCTCAACTTAAAACTGACAAGAACTATCATCCAACTGTCAGTGTAACACAAAATCATGTCTGGTCTAGTAAATTAAGTGTTGATGCAAATTACATACGCGCAAAACATAAACTACCGTTGCTTTGGGTGATAGGAAGAAGTGGGAGAGCATTGGAAGACGGATTGGAGAAGAATGAAGGCATGATCCTAGTGGCGCTGCCGGAGATCAGACGGAAGGCCGGGTCAACGAGTTTCGCTAACCAACCGCCGCGGCCAGACTTATTCATCGGTGCAGCCAGGGGTCGAGCGTAGGGACTAGCCGGAGGTTTCCTCGACGGAGGCTTCCTGAACTTCCCTCCAGCGCCTCTCTGCTGATCTCCATCATTGTATATGCCCGCCGGCGCCATATTTGCCTCCATCTGTATCTTACTCTCTCAGGCGGCAAATAATCGCTCGGCGGCGGATATCTTATACACCCACCGTATTTAAGGAGTATATTTTTTGTACGTTAGGAATTATTACTTCGATTTACCTATGTTCTACCGGTCAAAACTGAAAGGACGCCTTTGGAAAAATTTAACACCCGAATGTGTGCTTTGAAAATAACACATCCCAAAATTTTGGATATCAATTTTGTTAACCCACCATACTTGTTTTGTTAATTACTCTCTCCCCTAACTTTATCTCGTTTTATTATTTTCGTCTGTTCCATTACGTTCGTCTCATATCATATTTGATAATATTTGAGTGATTACAATTCATTCTTACTTTATTCACGTTATCAATTCAATATCATACCAACCACACGATTCTATTTTTTCTTAAAAAACACATCACACCTCTGATGGATAGTCTACCCGGGGGGTATCTTTCCGAGGGGTTATTACGGGAATAACTTAGAGAGAAGTCAGAGTAAATAGGAGGAGAGAGAGTCGATTTTATTAAATGAACTCGAGATGTGGAGTTGAGATGTAGATTATGTCCATTACAAGGAGAAATGGGCTGCTATTTATAGTAGCAATAAATGCGATGAGAGGACACGTGTCAGTAATCCAACGGCCGAAGGGTCACATCAGCCTGGTGGCACCGGCAGTGGTACGTCAACCGCATTGAATGCGGTTGGCGGATGCGACGTGGCATTAAATGCGGTGGTTGGCTGTCTCTAAAAGGAATCTTCGATGATTGGGCTTGTTCAGCCGAAGGCTCCTTGTGTAGCCGAGGGCTCCTTGTGCAGCCGAGGGCTCCTCGTGTAGCCGAAGGCTCCTCGTGTAGCCGAAGGCTCCTCGTGTAGCCGAGGGCTCCTCGTGTAGCCGAAGGCTCCTTGTGCAGCCGAGGGCTCCTCGTGTAGCCGAATGCTTGGATCAGCCGAAGGCTTCCCCTGGTGCCGGGGCATGAGAATGCCGAAGGCTCGTGTTTTCGCCCGTTTTCTCCCAGCGGCTTCTTATGCCAGAGAAGGCTATCCTGTGAGTTTTGGAGCCTTCGGCCAAGGAGGCCGAAGGCACCCCAGGGTGTATTCTGGGCTACTTTGAGGCTTGGGCCGTTGTATTTGGGCCTGAGTTGTTCTCTGGGCTCAATGGACTTGTGTAGGAGAAGTAGGAGTCTATGGGCCGGGGGTTCCTGGGTCATATACTCCATCAGGAGTCCCTCACTCCTTTTGCCGAAAGGTACTTGAGGGAAAAGGAGTAGATGTGTTGATTCTTCTGGAGGCTTCATCATTTCGCTGGGTGCCTTTGCTGGAGAACTTGTTTTCTGCTGATTGCCGAAGGCTCCCCTCAGTCCCTCACATGTCGAGGGCTTTCTGAGGGCAGTATAACACCTGTATGACTGCAGAAGGCTTTCCCCAGTCCCTCACATGTCGAGGGTTTTCTGGGGAAAGCATAGATGTATTGCCTGCATGTGTTGTGATGAGGGCCGCTTCCCGCTTCATTTCCGCAAGTGACGTGGAAAACTTTTGATATTCTGTCTCCGCCGAAGGGTGTGATTCCGAGGGGTGTGTCCCTGTCCCCCACTCCTTTAGGCCGAAGGCGAGTTCGGGCTGAAGGAGTTATAATGTGTTGTTGGGTTCCCCGAGGGGTTAGCCGAAAGCTTATACTATTATCTGCTCGAAGCCTCTCGCAGGTGGTAGCCGGGGGCTGCCATCCAATATACGCGTCGAGGAGTGGCAATATTGAAAAGCGAAGGCTCTTGTTGCTGCCAGCTCGAAGGCGCTATGTTGGAATTCATTGGCTGAAGGCTGTGGTGAGTGATAGCCGGAGGCTATCATTCGAGGGCACCCCAGTGTTGCCGAAATATAGTCGTTGTAATATAGCCGTTAGAAGAGGGTTCCACGTGGCGCTTCGTCGTTGGCAGATGGGGGGCGGGTGCCACCCATTGGTTGAACCGGCGGCCCGTAATGATGGCCTTTTAAGATCGAGGCCCAGTTCTCGAGGCTGAGAGCCTATAAATACCCCAAGCCGAATTCATTTTCCTTTGTGCGAACTTGAGTGATAGCGGAGCTCTGCCAAAATTTCTAGAGAGATAAAGTATTTCCTCCGATCAAAACCTAAGTCACAAGGTCAGTACTTGCTCCGTTTCTTACTACCTTGGCATATTTTGCTTTTTTATCTTTAGATCGAGTGTTAGAGATCTTAGGAGCCTTCGACTAGAACACTAAGTAGTCTTCCCCTTCTAGAAGTTGTCCCTTAGTACAAAAATGTCTTCGCAAACCGATTCTCAGAACATCTCGAAGGAGGCCTCGGAGAAGCCCGAAAGTTATTCGGATGTGGGGTCTTCCAGTGAACAGTCCTCGGACGTCAACGACTCGCAGGTGGCTGCCGAAGTCCAGAAACGGCTCATAACCGAGGCCGAAGCCGAAGAATTTGAACAGGTGATTGAGGACGAGGAGATGGCCCTCGCGGTCCAAACTGCCGAGGAGGAAGAAGAGAAGGAGAGGATGAAAGTGACCCTCGCTGTCCTTCCCCCCCGCGGCGATGTCGGAGCGGGGAGTTCTAGGCCCCTTGATCCGGAGCCTCTCAATGTGGCTCCCGGGAAGAAGAAGAAGGTGAGGGCGGCCTCGAAGAAGAAGAAGCAAGCCGCCGTTGATGCGGGACAACCCGTCGGGATTCCTGAAGGCCACTCTTACTTGAACACGGCTGCGCTCGAACTGAAGACGAGGGGCACCCACGCGGAGTATATGGCAACTCAATTTTTTGCCGGGCCCTCGGCACAGGTGGTGGAGCCGGGGCCAGATGATGTGCTTCTTCGACCTCCCGAAGGCTGCTTCGCGGTGCACATCCTATCTGTGGAGTTGGGCCTTCGGTTCCCACTCCACCCCTTCGTGTTGGAGTATTTGCGCTTCGTCAAACTCGCCCCCTGCCAGATTACTCCGAACAGCCACTCTTATCTGGCTGGATTCTTGTCGCTATGCCGGGAAAGGGGAGTTGAGGCCTCGCTAGATCAGTTTCTCCTTTCCTTCAACCTTTGCCGTGGGGGCCATGCCAACAGCGAGGGCTTCGCCAATTTACAACAAGTCCCGGAGTGGAGGTTGTTCTCCGAGGTTCCTTCCTCCCACAAAGGTTAGAAGGATAAGTATTGCTTCATCCGGATGGAGGAGAACCCCTTTCCCGCTCCTCTTCGTGACCATTTCAAAAGACACCCTAAGGTTGGGAATGCCGCCCTTGCTAAGAATGGGAAGGAGCTGGTGAAGAAGCCGGGGGGGTCTGATAAATTGAAGACTATCAAGGACGCCACCCTCCCGGAGGAGCTTCTCCTGCTGGGCTTCCGCCGCTTCCGCTTGGTGGGCGAGACTGGCGATGAGTACCCCCCGATAGACAGAGTCTATGAGAGCGCCGAAGGTGGGTGCCGAAGGCTCCTAGTTGTGTACTTAGGATTTTTCTTCACTTGCTTTGCCATTGTTATCTAATATTTGTGTGCTTATTGCAGGTCCCGAGATGGATGCGAAGAACTTTGCTAAGTTGAAGAGGCAGTTGGCCAAGGAGCCCAAGAAGAAGCTGAAGGAGGGGGGGCCCTCCCAACAGAGGCCCGTAGACGACTTTTTTCCGAAGGGGGAAACTGAGAAAGACCAGGGGGCCGAGGGACCCTGCAAAGATGTTGCCGAGGGTGCTGGTACCCTTCGAACTGAGGCGGCTAAGAGGAGGGCGCCGGGTAAAAGTAATGCAGCTCCCGGCAAAAAGCCCAAGAAGGTCTCCGGCGCTAAGGACGCTCCCCTGGTCGTCTCGGAGGGCCACTCTTCTTCGGGGACCCCTCTGGTGGCGGCGACTGTCCCTGCGCCTTTCCCGGATCAGATGGAAGATGGGCCCTGGCCCCGGGAGAGCATCCAATTCTCCATCAAGAAAGGGACTGCCATCACGCATGGCACCCTGGATCCGATGGAGTTCCTAAATGGGGCTACTCCTTCACTGGATAGGTCGACCCTCGGCCGGCATGACGACACTGCCCTGGACGCCAAGCTTCTCCAGGCCTCGTTGACTGTGAGTCTCACTATTTTTCTTCCCTTAGCCGTTGAGTCTCTTCCTGGCGTAGTGGTCTGATTTTCTGTTTTTTCTTTGTATGTTTGCAGGCCAGTGTGGCCCTTGGAGAACACATCCGAAGGGTGGGGCAGTTGCGCCTTCAGAAGGCGGAGTCCGACGAGGCTTTGAGGAAGCTCGTTGTGACTAATACTGAGGCCATCCGGAAGATGGCAACGCTGGAGGAGACCCTCCGGAAGACGGAGCTGAGGTTGGAGGATGCCCGGAGGGAGGGCAAGGCCGAGGGCAAGGCGGAGGCCGAGACGCTTGCTGCTGCCGCCGCAAAAACCGCTGCCGACGAGGCCGAGGAAGCGAAGAGGGTGGCCATCTCTCAGGCCGAGAAAAATGCTGTTGCTGCCTTTGTTGCCGGAGGCTGGAAAGATGAGGATCGGAGGCAGTGGGTGGCCTCGGTGATCGAGGAAAGCGTCGACGACTGGGTTGGTGGCCCCGGGGCGATGTGGCTAGCCCGGAAGGGCAAGGAGTACTATGATGGGGGCGAGTTTTTTACCCAATGGCTCGTCTACCGGAGGCTCGCTAGGCATTTCGGCGTTGATCCTCAGGACTTCAAACCCGAAGCTTACGGTCTTCCCCCCCTCCAGCCAGATACTAGGGTTCCCCTCCCCCCGGGTGTCGAGAGACCGGATCTCGAAGACTCCGAGCTGATGAAAGAGGCCGATGATGATGAAGAGGAGGAGGCTACCTCGAAAGCCGCCGGGGAGGATGTCGCTTCAAAGTTGAAAGAGGGTGGAGCCGAAAACGTCCAATCTTAAAATTTCTCTAAGTACCATTTTGTAATAGCTTGTAATTTCCGGCCCCGGCCGTGTATGTAAACGAACACCAGTTTTGCACCTTGAATATCTATTGTGGATTAATGATTGCCTTCGGGCTTTTCTGAATCAATGCCTCATTTCTTTGATTTTTGTATGAATGTATGTATGCCTTTCCTTACTTGGGCGAATGTATGCTTCCCTCTCCTTTGTCTCTTTCCCCG